CATTTGGACATGTACTTAAAAAGCTCTCATTTCCAGAACCATAGATTAAGGTGCATTGTTTGATAAAAGGTTGAGCCACAGCTAGTGATTGGCAGTAGGTAGTCTTGGAGATAATGTTTAGATGCCAAAACACTGGAACACTGGCAACATATTTTATATGGCAGAGTTTTCTGACAGAGATGGTCTGTGAGTTGAACTAAGCTTGTCCTGTCTGTAAAAGAGTAATTGTCTTTTCACAATCTGTGTAAACATTTAAATTGAAAATTTTCATAATTTTTTCTGTTAATTTTGCTTGGTTGTCTGTATCCTATTGGTCTTTCCTGAACTACGAGGCAGCTCTTGATTTAGCACAAAATTATGTTTTAAGTTGAATCTGTTAATAGTTCATGCAGTTCCGTACCCAGTAGCATGGCTTCCCATAATCACACGAAGTCCCCATCAACAACCATTGAAGACTTAGAGGAGAAAAGTCAAAATGACCAGAAGTTAGTGGAGTGGTACTGGAGTGAAGCATTCAACCCCCATGAGGGACTTCCTTGTGGGAAGCTCAGAGCTCTGATGGGGAGGTAGATGGGAGCTGGACCACAGGTGGAGGGAAGTGGTGAGTTCAGGAGAGCAGAGCCAGATGGACTGTGTAGAAAGGGAATGGCTAGAAACACAGTTAGGGATCACAGCAGAAAGGAAGTAGAACGGGAAGGAGGGGGCTAACTTGATTGATTAGGTCTGGAGAGGACTCTGAATACCTATTCACACACGATTCCGATGACACTGGTGCATGTTCACATTTGGAGAGGACAGCTTTAAGGGTAGACTCCACGAGTTATTGTGCCAAGTGCCCCTTTTTATTCCTATCCCTGGCCTGGTTACTTCCCTGCAAGCAGCACAAGGATGTGGCACTGTATGCACAGCCTTAACTGTCTTATTTGTGCATCATGTGACACTCTACCGTTCCCATTTTGTGACTCTGGTGTAGTCTTTCCTGGGCAGCTGATTCAGAGTCCACTGCCATGTCCATGGCTTTAGTTTGAGAACATAAGCCTCATGAGTGGTTCTTCCCTAGTTAACCCATTTAGCCTCAATGTTATAAAGTCTTTTTGTGACAAGTTCTACTCCTCCCTCATTCTCCAAGGCCGGCATCTTGGCTGGGTGCCCTATGTAGTCACACAGGACCCCATACTCAGAGGCCTTCCGTTTGCTTTACTTCTCTTCTGTCACTGGTTTGAAATTTTCATTCATCTGTGAACTTGTGTTCTTGAAGTGAAGCCTGAGGCCTGTGGAGCACGCGTGCGTGGAGATTTATACAATGTGGTCCACTATTCTCTACTACCCTATTTAGCCTTCATGATGTCCATGAAGTGGACTCATCAATGTTACAGAGTTCAGACTCATAGTGAGTACAGATCAATGTCTACAACTGAGCAAGCAGGGGTACTGATAGCAAGTCTGGTTCAAATGGTAAATAAGCACGGCCCCCTGTTGCCTTTTTTTTTTTTTTTTTTTTGACCGGCAGAGTGGACAGTGAAAGAGAGACAGAGAGAAAGGTCTTCCTTTTCCATTGGTTCACCCCCCAGTGGCTGCTGCGGCCGGCGTACCGTGCTGATCTGAGCCAGGTGCCTCCTCCTGGTCTCCCTTGCGGGTGCAGGCCCAAATACCTGGGCCATCCTCCACTGCCTTCCTGGGCCACAGCAGAGAGCTGGACAGGAAGAGGAGCAACCAGGTACCCCGACTGGGACTAGAACCCGGGGTACTGGCGCCGCAGGCGGAGGATTAGCCTATTGAGCCACGGCGCCAGCCCCAGACTTACTTTGAAGACAGAAGGCAATGTATTCTAAGAAACAGAAGACAAGGAAAACAGGGCAGCCCTGCCTTTTCCTCAGTCCCTTATCAGTAAGCTGAATGTGGACAGTTGACAGGATGTGCACACATGGAGACATGAAGCAACATTTGATCTAGTTTTGTGCAGTTTTTCCAGTGTTTTGGCAAGAATGTTAATGAAATACAAATTTAATTTGGGTGATTTTACATGTGTTCAATGCTTTTATAAATTAGGCATCACTTAATGATAGGGGTTGAGTTCTCAAAAATGTCACTAGATTTTGTTTTGTGAACATGAGAGTAAATTTAAACTAAGATGGCTGACATCTTTAGGCAATATAAATATAATAGGGGCACCATTGTCTACATGATCCATCACTGACCCAAACTGTCAATGTACAATGTAAGTATGGATAGTATAATGCATGCTAATAACTTGAAATTGTTTTTGCTTGAAATACTGTCATGTAGCAAATAAAATAACACCATTCTAAGTAAGACCCTGGAAGAAAGGAAAAACACAGTTCAGTAATTTAAATAGTTTTCCTGATTCTTAAACAGGAGGCCTCACATCTTCATTTTGTACCAGGTTCTGCATATTACATAGCCAGCCCTGCCTTCACTGTTCTAGGGCAGGTCTTCAGCCCTTCCTCCTCATAACCCCTTCTTTTGCCAGCTTTTTGAGGACTCTGATGGTCACTGATCTGAAGGGCACCACTGGCCTCCTGGTTCTGCTGCTGCTTCACTCATGGAATCTAGAACTGGATCGACTGACCTAAGAGGTAATACAAGGGCTCCACAGTCCTAAAGCAGGTGCATCTGCCATATCAGGAGATGAAATGACTTCTCTGTCCCCTGCTAACCTGATCTTAGAGAAGCAAATGTTGGAATTTCTTACCTGGTACTGCTAGTTTTCCCTTTGATCAGTTATGGCCAGAAAAATACTTCATGAAGACTAAACTCCAGCTGTTGTCCTTGACAGCTTGGTGCCTCTCTATCCCTTTTTGCCACTCTATGAATTCTACACCTATCAACACTGGAAGTGTAATACTGCCAACGCCGTGGCTCACTAGGCTAATCCTCCGCCTTGTGGCGCCGGCACACCGGGTTCTAGTCCCGGTCGGGGCGCTGGATTCTGTCCTGGTTACCCCTCTTCCAGGCCAGCTCTCTGCTGTGGCCCAGGAAGGCAGTGGAGGATGGCCCAAGTGCTTGGGCCCTGCACCCCATGGGAGACCAGGAGAAGCACCTGGCTCCTGCCATCGGATCAGAGCGGTGCGCCGGCCGCAGCGCGCTGACTGCGGCGGCCATTGGAGGGTGAACCAACGGCAAAGGAAGACCTTTCTCTCTCTCACTATCCACTCTGCCTGTCAAAAAAAAAAAAAAAAAAAAGATTAAAAAAAAAGAAGTGTAATACTAAGCAAATAAGTTAGAATGGCCAACATGTCTAAGTTAGGAAAGTTTTGATGTAGTTAAGTCATAAATAAAATGACCAGGCTCAATTGAAAATAGTTTGGGGATAGACAGGGTAAAAATTATTGCTATTTTAAATACCTTCCTTTTAGAAATGAATTGGCAAAACTGATCCAGGTAGATTTTTAAAGCAACTGAACCAGCTATTAACAGGAAGCTCATTTTATACTCCCAGACTTTTGACCACTAAACAAAAATGGCAAAGTAACCAGCTGGAGTCCACCCTGATTACTGAAAGCCAACTATCTGTCTTGGTTTCCCTATGGGCTGTGGAGAGTGGTTGGTGGAGGGAGGACTGAAGGCTGTTTTTTATGAATTTATCACTGTAGCGAACAGTCAAAAAATCTAAAACTCCATAAATATTCAGAAGTTTCAGAGCAGAAGTGCAGGTGGAGAACCCTAGGGACTGCTTTTAGTTTCCCAGTGGGTCGTGGAAAAGAAACACTGGATGAGCTGGCAGAGACGAGCAGTGAGTGCAAAGGAATGACCATCACAGAGGTGGAGAGCAGCAGAAAGGAGAGGGCAATCCAGCTAGGAGTGAAGGCGCAGGTGGTATGGACCTTGGGCCCTTACTCCTCAAAAATCTTTGTCCTCCGAACTCTGGGTCTTTGTGTACAGTCAGTCACCAAGGACCCTGGGGCTGAGCAAGTCACAAATAGGTCTTAATTTCCCTGCTGGGAAGCAGAGAGAAGGCCTTGCTTCAGCCTACTGCCAGGGCTGTGGAGTGTGGAAACAGACACTCCTAAATGAAAACCCGAGCAACCCTCTCTAGAAGTTCCAGTAGATGTAGTAGGTAAGTTCAGACTTAAGTATCAAGCATATGAGGGATCTTCAACATGTCATGAAAAAAAATAGTAGTATGAAAATGATGCATTGATTTAAAAACTTTCGTGCCAAAATAAATTTTAATTCCATCTTCCGTGAGCTTTTTATCTTCATATATAGGCTGGCTAGAAGTCTAGTGTGTATCCCTATGAGTCTTAGAAAAAATTATTTCCGAATTACATGCAATTTAACTACAAAGGAACTCTTGGAATCCCAGCATATTCTAGGCAGAGGATGGTCTGTTGCAAGGATGTCAGGGGACCACACAGTAGGGGGCTGGACGATTCAGCTCTGTCATTAGGCAGGACCAGGAGAAGCTTTTGTCAACAGTGACTGGTTTCATCAAAACTGTGAGGAAACCTGCACAGCTACATTGAGATTTTCTGTGGCTAGAATAAAGTACAGCAGACGTATACCTCTACTTAAGATAATTTTGGCAAATGAGCAACCCTGCAACGTAAAACTGAAGCAAGAAGGAAACAGTTGAGGAAGACAAACTTTATGGGAAATGGAAAAGGAAATGAGCAGAGTGAGCTACTTTTGGGATAAAGGAAGTAAGGAATATATGGCCCATCGAAGTAAGGCGTCAACATTATCTAATAAAAATGAATTCATCTAAGGAAGAACAGTATGAAAATATTCTAATGTAGTGCTGTTCAAAAGAGCTTTCTGTGATGGTGGAAATCTACCTCTGTACTGTCCATTATGGACTCTTCTAGCCACATGAGTACTTGAAATGTGGCTAATGCAACGGAGGACATGACTGTAATGCAAGTGTAAGTAGCCATGTATAATAACAAGTGGCTACCGAATGAACAGTGCAGCCATCACACTTCATGGGTCAAAACCATGGATTTCTTTGGCGACTTCTCTAATCACTGAGGGTTGGGTTTAGAAAGACAGGAAAGCTCTCAGTAGCTTTATTTGGCCACTTATAAAGATCTGGAAATCCCCACAGCTTACAAAGGCAGGGAATGGCACACCTGCAACGAGGAGGGGCGAGGGAAGGACTGGGGGAAACTTCAGTGTGTCCTTCCAACTCCTAGCTAATGCCAGTGGGGGGAAGAGGCCTAGGGTTTTGCTCATTCAAATGGGAGAAGGTCTGCAGTTCCACACATACAGAGTGAGCCTGGGGCCATCCGAGCACGGAAATCGTTGTGGTGAGGAGGTGAAGCGCTCATTTCCGGATGGAGTTTCCAGAGCCAGAAGAGGATTTAGAGGTGGAAGAACCAGAGGCCCCTTTCTGGCCTCCTGTAGGCTGCACAGGCCCTTTCTTTTTGGGGGTTATGATCTTGTTCTTGCTTTTAAACACTTTACTGGGATCCAGCTTGTTCACAAAGCAGTCAGTCTCTTCTGTGAGCAGGTTTGTGTTGTAGGTGATGGGTTTATACATGTTGAACCATTGCTGTGGAGCAAAATTGGGAGACAGTGTCAAAATTCAAAGCAGGAATGCCATTCTTTGTGATCTTTAGTGGGGTTGGGGTAGAAAGTTGGGGACAAGAAGCACAGAGAGAACAGAGTACAAGTTGAGTATCACTAATGTTAAATCAGAAATTTTAAGTCTATGCAAATATGTCAAACTCTGAGAAACTCTGAAATCTGAAACACTTCTGGTGCAAAACACTTCAGATAAAGGATACTCAACCTGTACACACTTGCTCCCGGTAAGATACACATATTATTTTATGAGTCCTGTAAACAAATACAGTATGAGAACTCAGAATCTGAGTATCCTTCCTTCTAATTGAGTGAGATTGAGCCTCGGATGCTAGATCCCAAGTTACCAGGGGACAGTCTCTTTCTAACTGTTCTGGCCCCTAACCAGCTACTCCCTATCAGTCTTCTCTAGGGAGGGACTGACAGAGGCTGGTGCAGGCCTTTCCACAGGCAGGCTGCATATATCGGTTTTCTCTGCCCTACTGGCTTTCTAGGCAGCTGACGGCAAAGGACATCCATATTTACTGACCTTTCATTGACGACAGCCACCTCACAGTCTTAACCAGATGGACATGGTCATTATTTGACATTGAGGACAGTGAGGCCTTCTAGATTAATGCATAGTAGGGTGGAGCTGTTAGTCCTTGTGAGAAACCACTATGAAGGAGCCCAGACTGGCTCACTCCAGTCAATAGTTCTTCCATCTACACTTGTTCTGAAACTAGGCTTTACATCAGTATTACCTGGCTTCTGACTGTTTGAAGTGGTGCCCAGACCTGTAATATAAATGATGCACACCCATACGATGCAATATGCTGTAGCCAATCAAGAAGGTCAAAACAGCTCTCCATGACTGACATTGAAGAATTAAGTAAAAGGAATAAGGTATAGAACAATTGCACTTGTGATTTAGAATGAAGGACCCAAAAAAATGTATGCATACGTATTCTATGTAAAGAGTATCTTGTGAAGGGCACAAAAGAAACTGGCTATGGTGGCTGCCTCTAGGGAAGTAGCTGGGAAGACAGGGGAATACTTCTCACTCTTCTGGTGAGCATTCACGTATTGCCAATCCAACAAAACAATCATCCGGACAGAAGTGTCCCAGTGAAATTTAGAGAAAAATAAAAACCTTCCAGATGATTCTGAGGATTGGCCAAGTTTGGGAACACTTAACTAGATCACTATAAAGTGATACTGTCCAGTCCACCCATAGTGGAAGTGCCAGTGCCAGCCCTGCTTACTGAAAATCCAGGTTCCTGGGCTCTACTCTCCATTTCTTTAATCAGATGCAGATGGTGAGAATCTGCAATTTAACCATTTCCTGAAAAGATTTTGGCACATTCTGCAGTTTGAGATAACCCCTTACCTTGGCCTGAGGGCTGATACCATAGCTGGTGAAGGCATACTGCCACTGGGGCAGGCCCAGGTGGGTGATGAGCAGGCGATAATAGGCGGTAAAAGTATCAGTGAGAAAATGCCAGTATAATGCTCTGTCCAGGAACCAGATCTCAGTGTCTTGGGCTGATGCTAAAAATCAGACAAAGACAATGAACGATGAGGGACAGCTTAACATTGCTTCCCCTATTAACTATAAATTCAGTGTATATTCATGACTGAAAAAAAAATTCTAGTAGTAGAAAGAATGTAAAATACAAAGTAAAAGTTCCTTTACTTCCACTCCCAACCTTCTAGTCCCATTCTCCAGTGGCCACTTTTTTTTTTTTTTTTTTTAGTTATTTTGAAAGAGTTACACAGAGGAGAGACAGATGAGAGAGAGAGGTCTTCTGTCCAATGGTTCACTCCCCAGATGGCCACAACGGCCAGAGCTATGCCGATCTGAAGCCAGAAGCCAGGAGCTTCTTCTAAGTCTCCCACGCGGGTGCAGGGACCCAAGGACTTTGGGCCATCTTCTACTGCTTTCCCAGGCCCTAGCAGAGAGCTGGGTTGGAAGTGAAGCAGCCATGACTAGAACCTGTACCCATATGGGATGCCGGCACTTCAGACCAGGGCATTAACCACTGTGCCACTGTGCCACAGCGCCAGCTCCATCCAGTGGCCACTTTTACCATTTTCTTTGACATTATTTTATAAATTCTCATCAGCAGGTTGATTTCTGTGCTGGACTGTAGCCATCTGGAAGTACACCAAGCAGATGCTTTCTGTGGGAATGAGCATTCCTCTCCTCCTTTGGGAACAGAGTGGACTCAGATTTCCCAGGGGATAGAAACTCTGAATGGCTCAGGTGTTTCTGAAGAGGCCTCTCTCAGGAACCAGAATTCCCATGGTGCAGTCCAGACCAGTTCATCCTTGGGAATCCCCTGTGTTCTGTGTGATGTCCAGACTGAACTGAAGCAGGCTCATATCACTCATATCATACCTGCTCCTGCCTTGCACCTGCTGTGACCTTCCATTCTTGCCACTAATCCTACCCTAGTATATCTGCTGTCTAGATAGCTGTCACTTCTCCCTACATGGCCTCTACCATCAAGTTTGTGACATTCTGCTAAACAACTTTGAGTCCCCAATGTTTTCTACATTATGCCCAAACTCTTTGCTTGTCTTTCAAAGTTCCGCATGACAGCAAGCAACTGGCCTTCTTCCTTCATTTCCCTAGTTTCCAGATGAACTATGTGTCCTACTGAATTGGGTTTGTCATTCCTCACACATCAGTTGTACCTCCCAATGGCATGGCTTTTGCCCATCTGTACCTTTGCTTGTTGGGTGCCACATTTCCCCCACCAATTCTCTCCAAAATCCCCATCTAATTCCTATGCATAGTTCAAGAGACAGTTCAAAGGCAAAGATTCTTCCAGCTGGAGATGATTTCTCCTCCCCCTACAGATAAATTCTGGTGCCTGTCTCTCCTCACCAGACAGACAGCTGCCTGAAGAGGGCTTGTCCTTATGCAGCTCTGCAGTTTCAGTCTCTATGCTAAGGCCGGACCTGCTTGCTGTTAGTGGACCAGCTGGTGGCTGCTGCTCAAGGGCCTGGAGCTTTTTTCTCTTGATTCCCCACCCAAGATCCAGAGGTTCAGTAATTCAGGTTTTATTACTGGCTTGAACATAGAAATATAAAACCAAGATAATTTGTTTCCTGAATTTTTACCTGATGTCTGAATCTGCTGTGGAGTCTATAAACAATGACTCTTTTAGATTTTACTTGCCTATTACCCTACTTACATTGCAATAACTCATAAAAAAAGATGACTAAAAACACTAATAATTTGCCTAGAGGGGAAGCTCAGAGGGAACCAAAGGGGATTTATGGATCCTGACACCTGCAAGAGACCTGCCAGCATCTCAGGAGGACAGGGAAGTATCATACCTTTTATGTGATGGTGGACAAGCAAGGTCAGGTAAGACTATCCAACTACAAGACCAAGTTTATAAAGGATTCTTACCTGGTTTCCCAGTTTTGTAGACAAGGCAAACCTTCCCATTCCCATTGCATGAGTCCAGCTCAAATATCACATTACGAGAATCAAAGTGAGGCTTCTCTGGCTGGTCCTCACTGCCTGCAAACCAGAAGTTAGTGTTCAAACAAACTCAATTCAAATACATACATCCAACTTTGCTAGGATGAGAAGACAGGAAGGATGAGCCTATTTCAGACATTTTCTTAAATGCCGTTTTCAAATGAATTCTATTCTCTAAATACACTGGATCTCATCTATGGTTGTGGCTGGCTGGGCCTCCCCACTACCAAGACAGTGTCAGGAATCTAGACAAAAGGTGATAGGAGGAAAGCAAACAGAACTTCTTGGGAGTGGAACCACATAAAGTTAGTCCAATTTGAATGGCCTGTGGTTAATATCAATTTTTCCTGGGATTGTTTGCTGTACAAAAATGGGAATACTATACACATAATCTGATTCTTGCTTTCTATGCAAAATACCATATGGAAGGCCCATAAAGAATGTTTTATAACTCATTCATTCTTTTTAGTGACAGCTTGATGTTGGTGTATCTATTCCTCACCCCAATTGACAGGCACTCACTTTATCATTATTCCACAGTGAATGTTGCAATATTCATGGTCTTTGTACAGTCACATTTATGGATGATTAATCTTTTATTCCTTTCATCTTTAAATTGTTTAATTATAACACAGTTTCTTTTTCTTTTCTATTTCCTATTTTTACTCATGTCATTCAATTATTCCCCTGATTACAGTGGAGATTTTAATGTTTTCTGTTCTTTTGATATGTAAATTTTTTCAACCGAAGTATAGCCAGGAGGCCATGAAGGCCATGGGTGGGTGGAGATGGAGGAGGGATGCTCATAGCTTGGGTCTGAGAAAAGAACTATCACAAAGTGGAGGCAGATCAAGATGGAAGCTGAGTAACACACTTTAGTAGTAACACCAATTTAAAGAGCTTTTTTTTTGTGTGTACCAGGCCACCTTCACAAGACCTAAGGAAAATATCACAATGATTGGTTTTAGAATAATAAGATGACACACCGAAAATGGCAAGGACAAGAGTTGCCCACATCACACCTCCACCAGCTCAAAGTAGCATGCTAAAACCACTGATACAACAAAAAGAAAACAGTTCAAGCCAATATCCTTGATGAACACAGATAAAAAAGCTTTGAACAAAATACTAGCAAATCAAACCCAACAGCACATTAAAAGATTACTATGATCAAGTGGGATTCATCCCAGGGATGCAAGGATGGTTCAATATATGCAAATGTCTATTCAGATTCTTTGCCCACTCCTTAACTGGATTATTTGCTTTTTACTATTAAAGTTTTTTAAATTTCTTTCATATTCTAGATATTATTCCTTTAATTTGCAAATTTTTTCTCCCATTCTGTTGGTTATGTCTTCACTCTGTTGTTTCCTTTGTTGCTTTTTTTTTTTTTAAGATTTATTTATTTACTTGAAAGGCAGAGTTAGAGAGGCAGAGACAGAGGTCTCCTATCTGCTGGTTCACTCCCCAGATGGCTGCAATGGCTGCAGCTATGCCCATCCAAAGCCAGGAGCTTTTCCTGGGTCTTCCACGTGGGTGCCCCAAGATAGCTCCTTGGGCCATCTTCTGCTTTCCCAAGCCATAGCAGAGAGCTGGATCGGAAGCGGAACAGCCACGACTTGATTTTTATTCGCATTTCTCTGATAAGTAGTGATGCTGAGCATTTTGTCACCTACCTATTGGCTATTTGTATATCTTCTCAAAGGAAGATCTTCCTTTGCTCATTTTTAAAAATATTATATTAGATAGACAAACTGACCTACAGACAGAATTTGCATTTTCTGGTTAATTCCCAAATGCATTGAAAAGCTGGGGATGGGCAGAGACTGAGCTGGGAATGCTCCCACCTCGGTGGCAGGGACCCAGTTACTTGAGTCATCCCTGTTGCCTCTCAGGATCTATATTAACAGGAAGCTGAAGTCAGGGGCTCAGGCTGGAAATCAAGCCCAGGTACTCTATCAGTTGCAGATGTCTTAACTGCTAGGCTAAATGCCTGCCCTAATGTTTATTTTTAAATTGATTTTTTTTTTGCTATTAAGTTGTGTTCCTTATATATCTTAGTTCCCAAGGGCAGAAGTATAGCTTGCAAATGTTTTCTCATATTCTATAGGTTGTTTTTTCACTCTATTGTTTTCTTTGCTGTGTAGAATCTCTGTAGGTTGATAAAAATCTCATTTGTCTATTTTTGCTTTTGGGATCTGATCTAAAAAGATCCTTGCCTATTCCAATGTCCTAAATATATTTTATTCTAATATATTTTATTTTACATTTAGGCTTTTAATCTGGTTTGAGTTAATTTTTGTACATGTGAGCAATAGGGTTCTTATTTCATTTTTTTAAAAAAAGATTTATTTATTTACCTGAAAGGCAGAGTAAGATAGGTAGAGAGAGAGAGAGAGCTTCCATCTGCTGGTTCACTCCCCAAGTGGCTGCAATGGCCAGGGCTGGGCCAGGCTGAAGCTAGGAGCTTCTTCAGGGTCTCCCACGTGGGTACACGGGCCCAGGCACTCGAGCCATCTTCCACTGCTTTCCCAGGTACATTAGCAGGGAGCTGGATGGGAAGTGGAGCTGACAGGACTCGAACTGGTCCCCATATGGGATGCCAGCATTGCAGGTGGCAGCTTTACCCACTACACCACAGCACTGATTCCTCTAATTTCATTCTTCTGTATGTAGTTATCCAGTTTTCCCAACATCATGTATTGAAAAGACTGTCTTCTCTCTGATGTCTGTTTGCATCAGTTGGCTGAAGTGCATGGGTTTACTTCTAGGCTCTCTATTCAGTTCCTTGTTTTATGCCCATACCATGCTGTTCTAATTACTTTGGCTTTGTGGTATACAATCCTGAGTGTAATGCCTCCTGCTTTGTACATACTGCTGAAGATTGCTTTGGCTATTTGGGGTCTGTACAAATTTTTCTCTAGTTCTGTAAATATCAATGGTGCTTCAAAAGAAATTATAATGATTCTGTAAAATGCTTTAGACATTACTTGGGTATTATTAACAATACTTATTTTGCTAACCCATGAACATGAGACATCATTCCACTTCTTTATATCTTCTTTAGTTTCTTTTATGAATATTTTATAGCTTTCATTATAAAGCTCTTCCACTTCGTTGGTTAAGTTTACTGCTAGAAGTTTGTTGTTGCTGTTACTATGGGAAAAAAGACTGCTTTTCTAATTTTTTTTTAGGTAATTTGTTATTGATATACAACAATGCTACTACTACTAGCTTTTGTATATTACTCCTTCACAAATTAATCTTTTTTCCTAGAGGCTTGTAATTTTTTTTTTTCCATGTTAGGGTATGTGTTTTTTCCTCTATACAATTTGGGTTTAGGTGAGTCCTTTCAATCTTTTTGTTTTTTAAAAATATTTATTTGAAAGAGGGAAAGAGAATATCTTCCATTTGTTGGTTCACTCCCCATATGGCTGCAATGGCAAGGGCTGGGCCAGGCTGAAGCCAGGAGCTTCATCTGGGTCTCCCATGTAGGTGATAGCGGCCCAAGAACTTGGGCCGTCTTCTGCTGCTTGTCTCAGGCCATTAGCTGGGAGCTGCACTGGAAGTGGAGCAGCTGAGACATGTGGGATACCAGTGTCAGAGGTGTGCCACAAGGCCATGTGGTTTGTATGCCCACAGGTATAGAGGACAATGTGTTCACTACACCCAGCTCAGTCCCTCTGCTTGGGCTCACTGAGTCCCATCTTATTACCTAGTCTACTTCACTGTTCAGCCTCAAGGGCACGGCAGACAGTCTACCTATTAACTTTTTTTTTTTTTTTTTTGACAGGCAGAGTTAGACAGTGAGAGAGAGAGAGAAAGGTCTTCCTTTTTCTGTTGATTCACCCCTCAAATGGCCACTGCGGCCGGCGTGCTGCTCCGACCCGAAGCCAGGAGCCAGGTGCTTCCTCCTGGTCTCCCATGCGGGTGCAGGGCCCAAGGACCTGGGCCATCCTCCACTGCCTTCCCAGGCCACAGCAAAGAGCTGGACTGGAAAAGGAGCAATCGGGACAGAATCCAGTGCCCCAACCGGGACTAGAACCCGGGGTGCCGGCACCGCAGGCAGAGGATTAGCCTAGTGAGCTGTGGCGCCGGCCCCTATTAAATTTTAGAGAAGCTCCAGCAAACACATAGGAAGCAAATGTGACTTTGCCCCACCCTTGGGATTTCACAGATCTCTGAATGACAGACAGGCTCTTCTGAAGACCCATCACGTTCCAGTCTTTGCTCTTGAACTCTTCTGGTATTAGTGTCCACTTGCTTGTCCACTTCAGGGAGAAAGCCTTACATCAGTTCTCTCTGCTGGGACATCAATGAACCCCCAAGGCCTCAGTACTGGCAATGCTAGTTCTCTATTCATCATTCATTCATCCTCCCTTTCTTTCTGCTATCGTTTGAATAGGATACAGCTCCCAAAGTTGTAAGTTAATGGTACTAGGAAGGGTGGAAACAATCCAATTACGATGTCTAGAAGGGGGTCTTCCATGAGACCTTGAAGGTAATTACCTTGAAGGTAATTCTTGTGAGAGGGATGGGTATAGAAGTAGAATCCCTTCTGCTTCCTTGCTCACTCTGATCCTTCCTGTGCACTGCCATCCTCTAGCCTCGCCAGAAAGCTGAACCAACTGCATCTGCCCTATCTTGGACTGTGACCCGTCAAAATAAACTTCCTTTCTTTGTAACTGTCTTAGCTTTTCATCACTATAAATACCTATTAAGGTTTCTTAATTAATCTCCAATTCTCTTTGAGGAGACACTATTACATAATTAAAAACACCTCCTTAGATTCCTTTGTTGCCTTCAATTCCGTTCTGCCCAATGACTATTGGGAGAGAGAAGACTATTGTTTTCCTGATAAAAAGGGAGAGATCCTGTCAAGTGCCAGTTTTTGTGTATGTGTCTTTTACTCTTCTCCCTACCAGGAACATAGACTTGAAGGCTGGAGTAAAGGCCGTATTCCTCAACCATGAGGATGAAAACCATACCCAAAGGGTGGTACAGCAGGAAGCCACAGAGATACTTTATCAGCTCCACTAGCCAATTCCAGATATTTTGTTAAGAGAAAAATAAAGTACTGTGTAGACATTGTAATTGGGTCTCTGTTACATGCAGCCAAATAATTCTGACTGAAGAAGTCCTTATACTCAATTGCTATAGGATTTAGCAGTCATGACTCATGGACCAGTCACTGAGAAGAGCAAAGAGCTAGAAGAATGGAGCTACATTTAGACTGCCTCTTGATTCTGAAATGTTGATTGATGTTTAATCTATAACACTCATTCATTCATCAAGTATTTGTTAAGTGTCTACTATGTGTCAGGTACTGAACTGAATACTAGAAACACAACAAAGCCCTCAATCCCTTCATGAAAAATTACTTTGTTGATGTAGATTACAGTTAACTCTTTTCCCAGGTCTTACTGTGAAGTAGTGGGTAAAGCCATTGCCTGCAGTGCCGGCCTCCCATATGGGAGCCAGTTTGAGTCCCGGTTGCTCCACACCGATCTAGCTCTCGGCATTATGGTCTGGGAAAGCAGTAGAAGATGCCCAAGCCCTTGGGCCCCTGCATCCGCATGGGAGACCTGGAAGAAGCTCCTGGCTCTAGGTTTAGATCAGCCAAGTTCCAGCCCTTGCAGCCATCTGGGGAGTGAACCAGCGATTGGAAGACCTCTCTCTCTCTCTGCCTCTGCCTATCAAATAAATAAATAAATCTTTTTTAAAAAAATGGGCTTTATGCTTGGTAGAACACATCACAATACCATAGTATCTCCCGTGGTTCTCAATATTATAAGAGGGAAATAAGAAGGCTGATTTCTAACTCAGAGGAAAAATTCCTTCAGGTACCTTCATGGATATCGTCCTCCAGGTCTGCCAGAGTTGGTGCGTTAGGAAGTGAATACATGGAAGACTGGTTAAGCTGGGTCAGTTTTGAGATGCTGTTAATTGTCATGCTGCCCAGTGGAATGATGTTATCTAGGAGAACATTAAAAAGGAGAATTACATGGAGTGACAGCCTGTTACAATGGTCATCACAAGGGTTTCTGCTTGAGTAACCTAAGCTCAGTTACTGTTTGGTATCAGCTGAAGGATCTGACAGAAGGTGGAAAGAGGACGATCACTTACTGCATGCCCCAAAAAACCAAACTTTCATGAAAAAGAAAAAAAAAAAAGAAAAAGAACTAGAAGCTAAAAGTGATGAAGAGCCCCACTACATTTATTATGATTTGAAATTGAAATAAAGAAAATTTTAAAAGGAAGTACTAAAAAAAAAAAAAAAAAAAAAAACCACCTGGGAAATCTGGGCTTGGGGACTTCATTTGAAGAGTAAAGGACTTAAGTATGGTTTTGCTTCCCCCTCCCTTTGTTTAGTCAGTATTCTGCAGAAAGAGCTTTATTTTTCAAAGGAGAAATGGCTTTGATTATATAGCTGGCCATTTTTACTTTTTTTTTTTTTTAATAACTGTCATGATGGAAAAATCTGTCATTTTTCCTTATTCAGTGGAGAGTACGTAGCAGCCTTCTTGCTTGGTTCTACCTTTCTATGATTAGGGTATACATAAGGAAAAGGAAGAGTGCATGTTTTCCTTATCTGTTATACAGAGCCTTTGTATTATAGGATGCTTGACAAAGGATGGCACACAAAGACAGAAACCAGATTGTTGAGCAAACTGGAATGGTTGAAACAGATGGTATATAGACCATGGAATGTCTAAGAAGAAAATATCACTAAAGAGGTAGATAGTGGAGACTATTTGTGTTGCCTTTTCTGTCATTGACTCCGGCTAGTCAGTTAAGAATGGGAATGACAATGGGGATAAGAAGCCCAGGACTGGGAAAATTAAATTACAGAAGTCATTATAATAACGAACAGGGACTTATTAGTGAAATATTTATGAACCTTTCCTTCCTTGAGGCAGGCTGGAGAAGAGCTAGCCTGTTCCCATGATGTGGGCAAGGCAGTTTGGTTTGTCCCCTTGTGTTGCTCCAGAGCCCAAAGGCCTTAAGGGAGGGCTCTGATGCTGGTGATGAGGCTGATCTTTGGGCCACTGGAGGAAAAGACTGTAAGCTAAAAGCTTAGTAAACTAAAAGAAGGACCTCTAGTCAGCAGTGGGAGATAGGCTTTGGGAATCACCAAACAAAGGGGCTCAGGTATGGAGGCAGAGGAGCGTAAGAGGTCAGCTTTGTGGATGCGCTGGGCAATCGAAGTCAGTGTGTTCTTAGGGAGAGCAGTGGGGAGGTGCAGGTGCTTTCCAAGGCAAGCACATTTGAGGATGTGGTTGGAGCTGGAGACAATAAAGACCTTTGAGAAGTTGGAGGCTGGGAGATCTGCCAGGAATGGGCTGGACTCAGGGTTTCCCAGCTTTTAAGATTTTACAAGAGTCTTCATGCAAATGTGCAGGGCTGTCTTTCATACCTACATAGTCCCAGTGATCTCCAACAGGTACAAGGTTGTGAGCTCCCACATCCACAAGGCCATTTTTTGTTCTACACACACTGAAAGCTAAATCTAGCCTAGGAACTGGTTTGGTGGGTGACTAGGGCTAAGGTGATCTGAGAGAAAGAAAGGCTCTGCTTTGGGGATTCAAACCTTGAGGTCTTGTGATAGTGGCAATAACACAAGGGCCTGAAAGAGACAACCTGGGAGTCCTCAGAAGCTTTACATATTAGGGAGCTTGGGCTTTTTGTGACAGATGAATGTTTTTCTCCACCTCATTCCAGCCAGAAGCCTGCAAATTGAGCTTCCAGTTCAGTAGCAGTGAGATTCTGACATGGAGAGATGGTGGGCAAAGCACAGATAGTGACTGTTAGCCCTGGCAGACAATAGCAGTTTCCAGACACAGCATGGCATTTGAGGGCTCCCATGAAAACTGTCCATATTCAAAGCCTCACAAGGTATAAGTGCCCTCAGAGTTGTCCCCTCCAGCTAGGAGGCTGACTCACCATCCAGCTTCACACTCCATGTCATGTGGAAGCCATTGGTCATCAGGTAAAAGTTCTTCACATCCTCAGGCATCACACAGTCATTTTTCTAGAATCACAAAGAAGCTGGCTGTTAGGTGATAACTTGGAAAGAGGGTAAAGGGCTGTGATTAAAGCATTGGGAACACTATTTACCATGTTTCAGACCCCCAAAATATTAATACTCTGGATAACTACCTACAAAAGCCTAGTAGAAAGGCTCTGGGGTCTGCAAGCAGTTTCTAGTTTGACCTTTATTCTGCCTCACCAGATAAAGCAGACCAGGCCTGTACCCCACCTTGACACTGCCTCCAGGGCAGCTGGCTGGAGAAGGAAGTAGAAGGGAACAGGCAGAAGAGGAGACAGGGAAAATCATGGAAGAGGAGGTCCCAGGTAAAGTCTGACCGTACTGATGGCAAAGCAATCATTGCCACAAATTTCAGACTGATGCTCACAGATTAGCTTCTGAAATGAATCAGCAGACAAATGAGAACATCTTAAAAAATATATATATATATACACACACACATATATTTCCAGAGCACTTAATGTAATGAACCTATTCTAATAGTTATGACCATTCTTTGAAAGTAGGGAAGCCCAATAAACAGGGTATATAAAAATATTTCATGTGAGTAACAAGTCATCTAAACTGACAGTGGAGACAAAGAAATAGCTTAGTATGCTTTCAAGAGGTACTAGGAGCAAGCCCTAAGTTGTAAATGGCTCACACTGTGCACTTGCCTCACCAGTGTTCTTTGGCCCTCAACTCCCTAGGTGGATAGAAGGATGACTTCTCAAACTCTTTTCCTGGGCCTCTTGGAGTGCTATCTTGTTAGGATTATAGGGCAAACAGGGAACATGCTAATAACTCTGTCCAAACTTCTGGTTTATGCCAGAGTGACAGTGCTTACATCACGTTTGCTTCACGTTATGCTGTCAGTCAGCTCTAGGAAGCAATGTGTGGGGAAGTATAATGTAGCAGGACAATCTGAGCTCATGCCCAAGTTCTGCCACTGGCTGGGTGACCTGAGAGATGTCATTCGAACTCTATGAATCTAGGTTCAAAAATAAATTCTATTAACAGTCATTTAAAAAGAATTAACTCTAATACGGAATCTATGAAATACTGGAGGTGGGAGGGGTATTAGCATGACAGGAAGAGAAGCTGAGGGAATTAGGATTCAAGGCTATAGCATCTTCAGTAACTATATGTGAGAAGAAAGCTTCAAGCCTGCAGGTGCTTTTTCAGCACGCCTTTCAAATAAGTAAATGGACAACAGCTGTCATTTCAATGAAGTTGTCAATTTCTTTCATCTAAAAATATCAATTTTTTCCTTCTCTCTACCATCTCTTTCTCAATCTCACAGATGTGGCACTAAGGAATTCTTGGACTCCTCAGGTTAATTTATTGATTTTCCTACTCAGTTATCTGGAGTTTTATTCTAGTGCTTCCTGTACAGCTACATACTCTGTGCTTTCAAAGGGAAAAAGTGTGCATTCAGAATGCCCGTCTGCCACCTGCAGGGCCCTGTCAAAGGAAGCCTACAGTTACCAGTGTTCTGACAAGATTCTTCTGTCACCAGAAAACGCCAACTGCTAGGGAATGTTGATTGCCACTGCCATCTAGTGGTGGACACGGGGGTAACTACTGTCTACCAGCCTTCATTGGGATTCAGTGAGAGCCCAGATGGAAGGGCTGGGGAATTCAGTAATAGTGATTATAACATTTGCTACAGTATTTATTTTATCCAAGAAATAAATTTTAATATCATTTTACACCTGTATTTTAAAAATCAGCTGAAATTCTTTGTAGAAAAAAATATGTAATACATTTCAAATACTGATATAAACATTAAATATGTAAACACAGTTCATGAGACACGTGAAGCCTATACTGTCATCACAATATAAATGACTGCTGGCCTGACTCGGCTGCTGCTTTGCACCAGACTTTTATGCCTCCGGCACTCCAAGCCAGCTGCTGAGCTTGCAGCCCCTCAGCCCTTCCTACCACATTTAGCTCTTCTGAAGGGAGCTTTCAGGGGACAGCGTTTAGGTGGTTCCTCTGCACTAGCCAGAAACTCAGGGTCACTGTCATTTGAATTTCTCTTTCAGCCAGTCTGGAAACAGTTTGCTTTTTCCTAGGGAGTAATCAGTCCACTTAAGAGGGCTTCTCCCCATACCAGATTATGGTCAATCTTTATTTTGGGGTAGGGTAAGGTGGGGAGTAATGGAAGAAGACTAGCAGAAAGTGGATGGAGGGAGGGTTTGGGAGAAGTCAGAAAGGGAGAGTAACACGGCTGACCAGTACCTAGAATATCAGGTGACAGAATCAACACGAGACTGCAATCTCCATCTAGCCCAATGATGATCTGGTCACACAGCTCTCAATTTCCAACACTTTCTCCTCCTATGGAACATATCAACAACAGTTTCTTTAATCTACTCTAGAAAGCATCCATCACAAGATCTGTTGCTACTTTGTCAGTTTGGGGAGCTATCAATTGGATTCCCAGGAAAGCTTCATTGGCACTGCCCGAGTCCTAGGGGAAAGGGCCTCCTGCTTGCTTCCGTCCTTCTGGGCATTCCTGTACTCCATGTTCCCTCTGCCACTTTACCAGGGAAGCAGGCCGGGCAGCAGATGCGGGGTCAGGTCAGCAATGGAGCCATGGACAGAAATGAATGTTTCTATAGGTGCCGTCTGTGTGCAGCAGGTTCTCTGTGGGTGTGTTTGCAACCACAGCCAGAGAACAGGTTGCCCAAGCAGCCTTTCAAGGAAGACTAAAATGTTGCTGGAAACAAGGCGATAAGCACAAAACAATCTATGGAAACTCTTCTGGGGCACAGCACTCTTGTAGTAATGCCCTCGGGCTTAACCAATCATCGATTTACAATGGAAGGAGGAACTAGTCTTCAGAGGTAGTGAGGATGGGAGCCTCATCTCAGTGTGAAGCAGGACTGCTGACAGAACAGCAGCCCAGTGGCTATGGGAGGTCCTACACTCTTTCTGACCTTTGTGTCTTATCTAATTAGGTCCTTCTGTCTGTACTGGAATAAATACTGTGCCCTGCACTAGGGACAGCATGAGGAATGAAGCTGGATGCAGGAGGCTGTGTCACACACATGGGTTTCTTATTCAAATGCACATGCCTTAGCAGCCTCCATGACACAGCCTCCATTTTGTTTGGTAAGGCAGTACGCCCCGTTAAATACTCATTCTCAGGACCTCTGCAACTCGTGCTGGGCATTCACCCACAAACACAAGTCTAAAGAAGAGGCTTCTCGAGAAAGGTGGCCTTTAACTCTTGTCTTTGCCTTGAGCTTGTAACAGTTAGGTGGGCTTGTAGTAGTCATTTTGCCAACATAAAGGAAAAGGATAAAAAGAATTTCGGAGCTAACAGCTTAGCATTGTCAGAGCTCTTGAACTAACTGTAACTGTCAACTCAAGACTTGTTTCACAAGAAATATTAATTCCTATTTGTTAAAGGCACTGTCAGCTTAATATTCTATCTCCTTGAGCTGAACATACTCCAATTCATATAGAGACAAGTGTGTAACAGGGATCTGTGGGTAACGCACCAGGAGAACAGAGAGGAAAGTCAGAAGAATCAAGAGGGTGGTGCTTTAGAATCCAAGAGAGGAGAGCTAGAAGGTAAGGGCATAGTTAACAATGAGAGATGCAGGAGGGAAGATGGCAAGGGGTAAAGTAAGGCTTCAGCAGTGAAGAGGTCCCCAGTGATCCTGACACAGTGGTGACCAAGGAATGGTGGTGGTGAGTTTGTAGAAGGATGGAGAACTGGGAAGTGAAGGGAGGATGGGGGAAGACAGTAATTTACATCAGGGGTTAATAAACTGGCCCACTGGACATGTGCCATCTGTTTTTGTGAAATTTTATTCCCACAGGCATGCACTGCATTTCAGTACTAGCTGATGGCTCTGTTCATTGCTATGATGGTGGAAATGAGTAGATATGACAGGCAGCTTAGGCCCATAGGAGCCTAAACAATTTACCCTCTGTTCCTTTAAAGGAACATTTCTTGACTCTTGATTTAGACAAATTTTCTACCTATGAGGTATGCAAAGGAACAAATAGCTAAGTAGCTGGAGGAGACACAGGTTGAAGGTCAGGGGCTAAGTACTCCCACTGGGAATGCTTACAATAAATCCCTAACAAGGGCTTTTGAAGGAAAGACCTGCAAGAAGGCTCTGTAGATTTTCAAGAAAGTGAGGCTGAAAAGGGAATGCTCTGCCAAAGCATTTGGTCTCTGTGGGCCATAGTTTCACCATCAGTAAATTGAATTTTTATCTTGGGATTGGAGAGTCTAACCAATCAAGAACTTCTCAGCAAACATGAAATGTTACTGAAATGCTTAATGATAACAGCACTCTCCTGGCACCAGGCTGCTGTGAGAATTAGGAGGTTGATGCTGTCGTGGTGCCTCAAAGATGAAGAGCTCAGTGTAGAAAGTGAGTCTTACTAATGACCATCACTACAAAAGACAGGCAGCAGCCACCGTAAACAAAAATCATACAATGGCACAATACCAGGCAGACTGAAACTGCTTTTTAAAGAACAAAATAGGGTGAAATATATGAAAATGAGAAAATGTTCAGTTTTCCCTCTACCTGCAGGGGACTACAGCAGGTACATGGTTAATTAAGTTTTAGTTTTCAACTTTCCTTCCTGGCTTTGCATCACAGAATTGCAGTGTATTATATAACAGCTAGGGTGAATTCTACACTAACACTGATTTCAAACTACTTATTCACAGATGATGAACATGAGGCCCAGAGAAGTTACATTACTTGGCTAAGGCCCACAGCTGGCTTAGGACTTCTGCTTCAGGCTTTTTCTCACACTCTAATGCCATTATGCCCTTACTAGTATATGATACCACACTGAGTTGCCTGGTGGGCTGCAGTTGCCCAAAGAGGCAGAGGCATAGGCCCCCTTCTTCTTGCAACTGTGAGCATCAGGTACACTGCATGGAGACTGTCACCTGGGGTGTCTCCAAGGAGACAAGTCTCTAGGGTCAGCTCCTACACAAGTGGGACGTATCAGAGGCT